TCTGAGTTCTGAGGAAGGGTCACCTGACCCAAAATGTTAACTCTGATTTTCTCTTCACAGATGCTGCCAGACCTGCTGAGCTTTTCCAGCAACTTCTGTTTTTGTTCAAGGTCTTAAGGGGACTACGTTAGGTGGATACCAGGAGGATGTCTCCCTGTGTGGGGAACTCAAACTAGGGGGCATACTTTAAGAATAATAGGTCTCCCTTTTATAGCACAGATGATTAGAAATGCTGATTCTTAAAGGGTCATTACAGAGTAGATTTCCCTTCCCCAGAAGGCAATGAAGGCTGAGTTGAATACGTTTTTGATAGTCAAGGGCTACAGGCTGCAGATAGGAAAGGGGAGGCGAGACCACAATCCATGATGTGTTCGAGTAATGCAGCTAGCTTGAAGGGTCAAATGTCCGACCTGTGTTCCTATGTCTGCTACTTCACTATTATCTTAAATTTTAACCATTTTTAAATTTTTATTTAAATTTTAAATTTTTCCTGACTCACTTGAGCTAACTCTGCATATCTTGATCCTATTTAAGTTTAAAAAAGTAGCTTTCGATTCCCGTATCTGACTCTCAAAACGAACATGAAATTGTGTCGTGATTATTCTTACCCAGGGGATCCATTGCTATAATTCATGAATTAGTCCTATCTTGTTACACACTGTCTTTCCCCTGGCTGGATGCAGAACGTATTGTTCAAAGAAGGTTTGCCAACCTCATCCACCCTATTGCCACTTCAATTTTTCCAATCTATGTGAAGATTAAACACACACAATACTTAATCATTCATCAATTACAAGTGGGAGGCTCTGTGTCTAAATTTCAGAGTCTGGTCAAGCTCTTTGATCTTTTCTAAGTGATGCTTTTGCAAAAGTAAAATTGTTGCAAGCTTAAAACTAAAAAGAAATTGATATTTTAAAATTTTTAAGTTTAAATTTTCGGTTGGGAGGACAGAGTGGAACATCTTTCTAAGACAACTTGACTGCTCCTAAGGTTACCTTGATCTCCTTATTCTGTTATCATTTCAGTTCCTTTTAAAAGCGCCTTGATCAGAACCAACTTCTTTCAATGGAAATTTGTTCTAGTATAACCAAAAATATACTGTGATTAGCCTCTTGCTCCATTTAAAAACACACACAAGCAGTTTTTGGTTCCTTGCTCTGATAAAAATCAACTCGCACAGTGAATTGAATTGGTTATCTTGAGGCCTTGACATCCAAAATATCTGCACAGGCCTCAAATATTAGGAGAAAAATCAACCATATTCAATACGATACAAAATGCATTTAAAATTTACTTACCTCGGTATAATCAGACACAAAGAAAGAAGTAGTCCCATCATATTCTACAAAGTGATCTGGAAAGAGTCGAATCCAAGTGTCATCACCGTAGAACATGATTCTTTTTCCAGCAGTTTTTGCCTGCCAGATCAGATTATCTTCCAGCAAAGTAGGAGAATTCAAGTTCATGATGACATCAATAAATCCGGGAATTCTGCCAGTCATCATTGCCTAAACAAACCGAAACAGTTCAGACGTAAATACTGGACCATTTCATGCATTTCAATAAACATATCCAAAGTTCAGTATTAGTTTTCAAATCCCCCTATATCAAATGATCAATGGTGAAAAATAATTACTACTTTTGACAACTAAAGCAACTTTTTTGGGGATTCCGTTCAAACACTTTCCTCAACTATGTACCAGTTTCTCTTACAGCCCTGAATTAACTAGAACTTTTCATTTCAAACTTGTACAAAAGGACACAGAGTTGCCACTGTAACACCGATGTTCAAAAAAACAATAGAAAAATAAACCAGCTGGTTACCTAACAGGCAGGCAGCCAATCATAGATAGTAGGGAAGTTTATACAGGCCAGGATATAATTAATACCCAACTGAAGCAACATGGATTGACAGATGGCATAAATTGCCAAAAGCCCAACATTTCAAGAAATAAGAGAGTACATTGATTTGTCCAGTCTATAAGAATACATACTTGCAACATTACACAACACTCAGGCATCAATTAGGAAAGGAAACTGCAAGGAGATAGAGATGAGATAAGAATTCCTCACGTTAGGTCACCCCAACTTAAGTTAATTTGATGTAATGGTGCATTCTTAAGGGGGCTGGAATTCGTACCGGACAGCATGGATTTGCATTAATGTTGTTCCACGGCAAACATGATATAGGGTTGAGTGACCCGATCGGTGCAGTTTCAGAGGGGCCGCCCCTGCTTTATGACCCTCTCACTCAACGATTACAGTGAGTGTTCAGGAAAGAGAAGCAGGACGGTCAGTGAGAAGGAGAGGTAAAGAACAGTGAGCAAGAGCTGAGTATATTTCTTTTTTTATTTTAAAAGTTATTTAATTTACAAATATATCAATATATTAGCAATCTGTTGTACTTAAACACTTTTTTTTCTGACAGTAAAGATCCAATAGAACCCAACCAAAATTGGAAAATGTAATTCACTTTTCATTTAAAGTTACACCTTTCAGGAGCACAACTACAATATTAAACAAGAAGTTACTGTTGTGAAATGGACCAAAAAAAAGTGACAGGTTGAATTATAGGAAAATAGAAAAGTGAGCAAATTAGTTTGATTTAAAAAGAAACAAATTGCACTTTCAATTAGGGACAGCTGAGCGATTTGACATCAGATTCATAAAACTTTAAAAGCTGCACCTCAAGTGATAAGGAGCTGAAATAAAACGAATGTAATAATTGAGTTTTAAGGCAAGACACACAGAATATAAAAGTCCCAATATAATGATAAATAACTCAACATTTCACAAAAAACTAACCTTTTCAATTTCTTACCTTAATTCTAGGCATCGTGACTGTTGGTGGCCAGGCTTTAGCAATAAAGCTGAGAGAGGAACCTTGTTCAACCATACGTCGTGTGTATGGCATGAAATGTCGTCCTTTTGGTCCAAACACAAAGTCTTCTCTCAAAGCATCCACCAACATAATAACAACCTTTCCAAACAATGGGGATGGCAATTTTGTCCAGTTTGATGCAAGGCCTAAGTCAAGAGAATTTACATACACTTTATCTGTGTTTTAACTTAAAAATAATTTGATATCCCTGGCACTGTTCACACGTAAATTGGCATTTTCAGTTACAATGTAAAACTCAGCTGCTAATTACAACTGTCTCTTTAAAGCCACTGCTCAATTACTGCACATGGAGTTTGTTCAAATAAGATATATGCTCAAGGTTACTTCAGATTATTTCTTGACACTGTTATCTTAAAGAATTTCAAAAGTTTTGTCAGGCATCATCAGTCATATGAATCATATTTCTCCATTTCACTATAATTTAAGAGTGTCATTCCATACATTTTTTATTCACTTGTGGGCATTACTGGATGGCCAGCGTTTATTGCCTGTCCCTAACTGCCCTTGAGAAGGTGGTGGTGAGCTGTCTTCATGAACCGCTCTAGTTCACTGTCACTGTAGGTTGACCTACAATGCCTTTAGGGAGGGAATTCCAGGATTTTGACCAGTGACAGTGAAGGAATGGCAATATATTTCCAAGTCAGGATGATGAGTAGTTTGGAGGGGAACTTGCAGAAGTTGGTGTTCCCATGTATCTGTTGCTCTTGTACTTCTAGGTAGAAGTGGTCATGGGTTTGGAAGGTGCTGTCTAAGGATCTTTGGTGAATTTCTGCAGTGAACCCTGTAGATAATACACTGCTGCTAGTGAGTGTCGGTGGTGAAGGGAGTGGATGTTTGTGAATATGGTGCCAATCAATCAGGCTGCTTTGTCCTGAATGACATCAAGCTTCTTGCATTTTAGTGGAGCTGCCGTTAACCAGGCAAGTGTGGAGAATTCCATCACACCCCTGACTTGCGCCTTGTAGATAGTGAAAACAGACTTTGGAGAGTCAGGTGGTGAGTTACTCACAATATTCCTAGCTTCTGACAGTTCTTGACGCCATTGTATTTATATAGTGAACCCAGTTAAACTTTTGGTCAATGGTAACCTACAGGATGTTGATAGTGGGGAATTCAGTGATGGTAACACTATTGAATGTCAAAGGATGGTGGTAAGATTGTCTCTTATTGAAAATAGTCATTGCCTGGCGTTTGTGTGATGCAAATGTTACTTGCCACTTGTCAATCCAAGCCTGTATATTGTCCAGATCTTGTTGCATTTGTACGTGGACTGCTTCATTGTCTGAACAGTCACAAATGGTGCTGAACATTGTGCAATCATTGGCAAGTATTCCCATTCTGACCTTAAGATGGAAGGAAAGGTCACTGATCAAGCAGCTGTAGACAGTTGGGTCTAGGACACTATCCTGAAGAATTCTTGAAGAGATGTCCTGGAGCTTAGATGACCTCCAACAACCACGACCATCTTCCTATATGTCTCTAACCAGCGAGTTTACCCCCAATTCCCATTGTTTCCAATTTTCTATCATTTGTACCTACAAATTATGTCAAAATGACTGCACATGAGATTATCACTGTCTCTTTTCATAAATTGGCATTATATTCTCTTTCCACAGTCCTAGGTCCAGACAATTTTAAAGGGTTCCCTAAAAGTGTCAGCTGAAATAATCTCCCCTCTAAATTTGGAATTACAGAAGTTTATAAATACTCTCAAAACTTGAATGGGTAGAAATGCAACAAAGAAAGGCTGCAAATGTGCTGAATCAAATAAAAATGAAAAATACTGAACGACGCACACCAGACCTTTAAATAGTTCATCATCTTTGGCTCAATATGTGGTATTTCAAATTTTTGAATATATTGAAATGTTTATGCAAATCGCTGATGACGTATTGTAAACCACTACTCAGCACTACTTGCCTGTAAAGTAATTGTGCTCTTCATTGGCACTTTAATCAGCTAAAATGCTGTTTCTCAATTTTGAGCCAGCTAGACTTAAAACTCAGCTGTTGACTTATAATGAAGAACATTAACATTGTTAATGTGAACAATTAACAATGTTAATTTTTACAACACTAAAGCAACAAGCTGAAGAACAGGGAGACAACCTATATAAGTTACCACTAAGGTAATGCCGACCTTTCTTATCCCATTAGTTCAACACCAAATTTAATGGGTTTAGTGTGCTACTCAGAAATGTTAGCAGTGATCACTGCCATCTTTTAGCTTGATCCAAATCAATGTTTTCACCTTCAATCCTACAATTTAGGCATTTTTTTTATTGTCTGTGAAACACTGGTGCACACAGATTAGGAAAAAAGACATTTAATTTGTTCTGTGGTCCATCCATCAGATAAAGAAATAACCTTGCACAATATCAAACAGAACAAGTGATTCAATGACTGCAACAGAAACTGGGCATAACAAAATACCTAGCCCAGACAATTCAAGCCTTAATAAATAAAAACCACCATCTCACAAAGAAATGTATAGGGATGTAGGACCAAAGCAGCACATGCTACATGGGTTCTTATTATCACTGGAAAACAGGCCTGTGTCTCAGTAACAGATAGAGAGTGGCACTTGCTGGTGCCTTAAGTTACTTTCTGTACTGGCCTTAGGAGAAATGTGGAAGTAATGCTCAAGTGGCAGGGTATGGAGACAGGGAAGTAACTGCACCATAGGGCACCGGGTAGAGGGACAGGGAAGGAGCAGCACTGCAGGGCAACGGGCGCAGGGACAGGGAAGTAGCAGCACTGCAGGGCAATGGGTGCAGGGACAGGGAAGTAGCAGCACTGCAGGGTAATGGGTGCAGGGACAGGGCAGCATTGCAGGGCACTGGGCGCAGGGACAGGGAAGTGGCAGCACTGCAGGGCACTGGGCGCAGGGACAGGGAAGTGACGGCACTGGGCGCAGCGACAGGGAAGTGATAGCATTGTAGGGCACTGGGTGCAAGGACAGGGAAGTGACAGCATTGTAGGGCACTGGGCGCAGGGACAGGGAAGTGACAGCATTGTAGGGCACTGGGCGCAGGGACAGGGAAGTGACAGCATTGTAGGGCACTGGGTGCAGGGACAGGGAAGTGACATTATGGCGATCCTTGCGGCCGGGTCCACTCTGCAGCCCCGGATTACCTAACACAGGTTCTCCCGGGATCTCCGACACCTTGGCTTTCGCGGATCCGAATGACTTCAACGGGGTGGGGAAGAACCCACGCAGGAAGACGGCCATCCCGAAGAGAATTCCCAGGAGGCCGCAGCAAGCAAACAACGAAGACCTCAGCCTCATCATCCCAGCGCCGGTCCTAGCCGGACTGCGCAGGCGCAGGGCCGGGCCGGCCAGGGGGCGGGGCAAACGGTTGGGAACATCGGCGTTCAGGGTCAGAGGTTGGGCCAATCAGAATTGGGGTGTGTGACCAACGAATCTGGGGCGGGGCCGGACGTTTGGGGCGGGGTTTGGCGGCGAGCGGCGGGGGATGTCGTTGTATGGGCGTGGCCAGTAATACAGGGCGGGGCGAGACCGCGGGTGGGGGCGGGATATCACGTGGCTAAGGGCGAGATAAAATCATTATATAGGCGGGGTTAGCGGGACAGGCGCGGGGCCATGATTGCCGGTGTGAGATCACGTGCCTAGGGGCGGAGTGAAATCGTTGAGTGGGCGGGGTCAGTGAGACCAGGGCGGAGCGAAATCGTTGAGTGGGCGGGGTCAGTGAGACCAGGGCGGAGCCGAATGGTAGCGGGTGTGGTCATAGCATGTGGGCGGGGCCAGTGTCAGGCTCGGGCCAAGGATCCCGGAATGAATGAGTGCATCGATGGACAATGCATAAATTACCTTTTATTTGAAAGCAATCGAAATATGATAAATTATAGAATTAGCAAATTGCAAGAAAGAAGAAAATGAAATAATCAGACAGTAATTCAATGAAATAGACTACTTTGAGAAATAATCCAAAAATAAACATACA